GGCTTCGCTACACCTTGCTGTAATCATCAACAATCATTAAGGCTTGGGAGATAGCCATAATAAAGGTATGGACAAAGAAGAGTCAACTACAATGAAATTGTGCGACTACAGAGAGGAACAGTACCTTTCCAAGAGCCCAATCAGCAGAATCAAAATAAGCACGTTCATGATCCTGACAACCAGCAAGGGTTAATTAAAACAGACAGAAGTTGACCACGACATTGGAAGTTCACAGCACAAACAATCACAAACAGTGTAGAAACAGTAATGCCATTGCGTTCATTACCTTAGAGATAAGAGGTGGTTTCTTTGGCATAATTCCTCCGTATTTCTTTTTAACAACTTCCTCCTATAATAACAAATGGTAAATATATATGTCAAAATCTCTGTACCATAACTTAAAAATAACATGGTAAGCAAAAATCTCGAAGTGAGCACAACTTCCTGTTTGGTTGATGGCATTGGCTTTTCTGCTCCATCTATTTGGTCTTTGACATCCTCCATCTCTGACATACTTCTACTGACCTAGTTGACAACAACTGCAATAGCAAGGAAAAATAAAAGGCTTACCCAAAATGAACATTTCAATAAAACCTCCCATTTAAGACAATATACATAGAGTCAGAGATCATTCTTCAAACAGAATCTCACTAATGTAGTCTGGAACTAGCTTTTTGGTAGAGAGGAGGAAAGGGATAAATCATTCACTAGACTTTAAACATATCGTTCTCATGAAAGAGGGATGTCTATGAAGAAACATGAGACATGTGAGACATTTGTCCAAATTCAATTCCTTTGTTTGTGATTCCTGAAATGACATTTCTCTACAAGTGGTCATCTCAGAGATGCGTAAAACACATGCGAAAAACATTTTCTGCTCTCAAGTGATCCCTAATGCATCACTGAAAGAACAAAACAACCCCTGATCTCGAGTCAAAATCACTACAGAAGAAAATAACACAACCGTTCATGCTTCAACTTTTGATCTTCACGACCAAAGAAGCAGTGGAAGGTTAAAGTGTGCAATTGAAGATTTTCATGTTTGTCTTAGTTGATCTGTAACCATATCTCCATTCGGTTACCGTGTTAGACTTACGTAGTAGGACATCATGATTTCTGTAAGTTATGAATTTTGTGGATACAATGTTTATCCAATAATTCAAAAATTTAAAACTGGATCATTATATACGCAAACACAAACAAGGCTAACCAATCCTCCAATGGTAGTAAAATCTTCACTAGTTTCCTCACGAGTCTAGAGGCTTCATGTATTTCAGGCCTAACCATTTGTGGACATAATAAATCAGAAAGGCATCCAATGGAGAAGGGCCTGCATTTCTAGCCACCATTTTAATCTTCTACCAGAAGTACAACATTAGTCTAAAATAGAGCAGAACTGGATATAAAAGATTTATATAGCCGGCCCACTAATTTGGGATTAAAACATAGTCGATTGAATGATATCAAAATGTACAATATCATAAAGACTAATGAAAGCATCAGATCCTTCCTCCGTAACATAAAAAAGAAAAGGAGCATAGAATAAGTCAAAATGCATCATTAGATGCAACAAGGATATGAAGTTCTTGGCAATGATTTAGATCAAGCTCAAGTGTCAGTCACTCGGTCAGGGTCACTGCAGCAACTAGCAATGTTAAAATACCATATCTATGAATGTGGACATATGCATAAATACATAAATTGACGCATATGCATGTAAGTGTTTGTGCGTTTAATTACCCAGTTCACTCTCTAACAAGAACTCTCTCTTTCCAATTACATTGTTCTCTTTGTTTTGGAAATAAAATTAAACTAAATTCAAATAGAATTTAGTCTAGAAGTCAATATAATGTTAATATTTTGAAGAAATTTGATTTTTTCTTTGATATATTAGTAGGTTTCATAATACAATTTTGATTATACGGATACAAAAAAATAGGTATTGAAAAATGTAGGTGAGAAGCTCTTTTGAACAGGAAAGCGGACACAATGAACATGCCTGATTTGGCTTATAAGGAGTAATAATCACAGTGAACAAAACAATAACTCCGTATTATTAGTTACTAGAGATAATAGTCAAGCCTTGTGACATCCTAGTATTAAAAGGACTAATCTGGATTCAAAAGAAAAATGTTTCAATCAATTTCAACTAGTTAAAATTGAAATGGTTAAATCACTTGGATAAAAGAGACAATTTGGAAGATGAAATGAAGTTTACAAGCCACTTTTTCTCTTTCTTTTTCTTGTGAGTTAACAGTCAAGATCACGAGAACTCGCAAGCCACAATCACATAGGAAGGAGATAGGAATGCCAATCAACTTATAAACCTTAAAGGCACAAGGCTGCAGGGCTTCGATCTAGTGGGTTCGCATCTAGTGGTAAAAGCGCAACACATGATGTGTGAGTTAGACGCACGTCACCGGTTTAAACCTTGCTGCAAACCTACAGTTTCGACCCAATAGAGGGGCACAACCATCATTGAGTTTCGAACCTTCCGCTACTGGCTTTAGGAATTTCTCGGTTATAACAAAATAAAATAAAAAAAGGAAAGGTACAAGAACTACAGTGAGAGCAAACACAACGTAATGGGATGTAGGGTGTTAGTTACGGGGTTCAGATGAACCCAATAGCTTTGGTTTACGCCCTATATATATGTTACTCCATCTATTTCAATTTATGTGTGTTTACTTCCTTTTTAGTCTATTTAAATAAGAATGTCTCTTCTTTCTATATTTAGTAACTCTTTAATTCCAACATTCCACGTGACAAAATTAAGACTACAAGATTCAAGGATATTTTGGTACATTAAACACATCTTTTGTTTAAGACGACTAGATTCAAAAGTCTTTCTTACTTCTATTAAACTACGTGCCCAGTCAACTAAACACAAAATGAAATGGAGGTAGTGTACTAAAATTCACTAAATAAGTACACCTAATTGACTTCGAATCAAATCAGTAGAACTCATAAAGTTCAAGTTCAGGATCCGCATGTACTGCAAACTCAATCCACGATTCACATCTTATCATGAAAAAATCATTGGGAAAAAGGATTGGGGTTTTTGAATCGACTAAAACAAACAAGAAAACAATAAGAATTAGGGTCGAAATGTAAGATCCGAATTCGTTAATACTACAATTAACAACAATTTATTGGGGATAAAGAAAGATTTAAGAGGAAATATTCATCACTAAAGAAGAGAAAATAGTTAAGGGAGTGAGTGACTTACCAAATCAAAGGAAGCAGAAGAATGGCCAGAGGGGTTTGGATCAAATCGAGAGAGGGAGAAGAAATTTCAACTGTTAGTGGCCAAGTCTTTAATAAGGAATCTTTGAATTGATTGATATAAATAAATAAATAAATGTTTTCTCTTTAAAGTTGCGTAAGTCAATCAATCATAAATCATAGTCTGTTACATTACTGACGCTGTTAAGATCAGACCCCGTGAGTTTTCACCATTTCACACATTGTTGGATTTTTAACCTGGAAATTCATCCCAATTCACACCCCTTTCTATTATTTGCACTTGTAAAAATAATAAAAGGAATGATATATTTCATTTTCTAAATTAAGTTGTTTGAATCTTTTATTATATAATTTGATATATAAGATGTTTTTATATTTAAACATGGAATAATTTTATAATCTATTTTTACTGTGGTTGGTGGAATACCTTGTGGGGTGGTTGTATATACTAATAGTTATGTGGCGATGCCTGTGCAATTTGGTTAGCTATGGATATGACTAGTGATGACAGTCGATGGCAATTGTGCGATGCTACTCAAATTCAACCAGGTTATCAGCAACGTCATGACTTTTGTGATTTAGTTTAGTATTCTCTACTCTTTATTAAGTGAAAGTAAGACCATAACATAGACCTCAATTTAATCTTTCCTACTCTACATAGCAATTATGTGAAAAAATAAACTACCTTGATCTTTTCAGTAGGATAAATGAACAACACATGCAAATTATAACTAGCAAGTACTTAAAGATTTACACTAATTCAATAAATACATGATACATATATTTACAAATATAATTTTTTCTAAACCACGGTTAACTATTATACATTTTCACCTTAATTATATATTAATCGATGCAAGTAAATTTTTACCATTATACCAATACATGTACAAACCCAACAATTGTATTTATCACAAACAAGGGAGCAATGAACTATCCCAATTACAAAAGGATGAATGGGAGAATCCAAATTTTCTCTTTTAAATTTTGGCATCCGGTCAGATAAGTTCAAACATAAGATGAAAGTGAAAATGCCAATTGCAAAACACTAAATTTTTAAACTATCCAAATTGCTATGCATTTGTTTGGGGGAAAATTCACATATAGCCACTTTTCAACCCCTATAATTGAAAAATTACCACCATTCTAGAGTTTCAAATTCAATAAGTAAACCTTAGAATATTGTGTTGGAATTTCACTTGTGAAATTTGAGCGCTATTTCTACATTTGTTTGTCTACTTATTTTCCTTTTTTTTTTTTGGTCTTTTAGGTTGTTTCTATGAGGAAATTTTTTACCTTTAGAAAATTTCAAATTTGGACTTGCTTTGATTGTCCAGAACTTGAAAGAAGACCTACAATGGATAGCAATATGTAAATCGATTGGNTTGGAATACTTCTACAAATACAATACTCGAAACAACTGTCCCAGTAGGCCAGTGGTGAGTTCCAAGTTTCGAATTATTAAAACTCCAAAAATCTTGAAATACACAACCACTTGCATGAATAATCTTGTAACTGATTATTAGTAGTAAATATTCATTAACTACCTAAATGCAGAGTTATGAAATCTAACTTGCCCTATTATTTTTTTCCCCTATAGCAAAAGACAACTTAATTAAGAAGATCTTCATGTTCAACCATCAAAAGATGATATCATCCAAAAATTTATGCTAGTGGTATAAAAGATTTTTCCCATTTGACTTCAGAATTCAGATAAGCGTTAAAAGGATTTAAAGAGAACAAAAAGCATAATATTAAGACATATCGCACGTTCATACATTATAGCTCCTAGTGAAATTATGAAAGCAAAATCATTTACAATTTATTGGATTCCTATTACAATAGAATTTCCCCGAGTACCTATACAAACCAAATTTGTTACACCAAGCCACCTATTCCAAGTTCCAACTATCAAAATTGTATGACAAATGTCAACTCTTCAAAGGTTGCCTAAACAAAAGCCTTCAGCACACACCAGCACCTAGACTAAGGCATTTAACTAACAGGAGAAAACGACTTAACTGGAAGAAAAAAAAAGATATAAACGAGATATTCAGTTCTAAATACAGCATATAGCCTCACTACACCTTGACAAAGTCTTCTGCACTGGGGTTTGAGTACAGCTATATCCACAGAATACCATCACTCATGACTCGCGGCGATGAGCCTTGGACGGAAGTCTACTGCAGCTTTTGTATATGGATAGGAAGTGCATTACAGCCTCCCACCTGATAATTACGTTACCACTCTTCAGCTGCAGCACTAGGTGCTTCTCTGTTGCCTCTGCACTAATATGCCAAACTATCTTAATGGCCATAAAAGGTCCAGCTTCCCAATTCCAAAATCCAAGTCAAGAAAACCATTTCACTTCTATCATAAAAAGTGTTAAGCCTAGAAAAACCTCCTCCTGAGATTTCTAGTGGTTGCCTGATAAGAACGCATAAGTAGTCCCACCCCAATGCCGACACCAACACACATCCCAAGGCCTATCCCAACACCAACCCTCACTCCTGCGTTGAACCAGGAGAGTTGACCATCTTCACCATGGTACATGTCTTCTGAATAGAATCCATATTCAGCTTTCACTTCAGACTCGTAATCGTCCACGTCTGTTTCTGTGATCTGCTAAAAAACACAGTAATTGTAAGCAAATATACACCGTAATTGGATTTATTTTGACAAACCAAACTAAACTGTCATTTGGTCAGCACTCAATAACTATGTCCCATCAACTAGTAAATAAGAATGTTTAAAATTGATTCAAGGAAGAGACAACCAAGAGGAAAAACAACAGATGGAATGAGAAAAAGAGAAACATAGAAGCTCAATTGAGAGACTCAAAGAGAGAAGAGAAAAAAAGGACAGTCCAATGCACAAAGCATCCGTATTCACGCAGGGTCTGGGAAAGGGCCACACCCCTAGGGGTGATGTAAATACCCTACCCTAATACAAGCATTAGTGGCTGCTTCCATAGTGCGAACCCATAACTTATAGGTCACACATTGCTCCAAGGCTCCCCTTTAAAGAGAGAAGAGAATGGAAAAGAAACAGAGATGCAAACGAAAAATTATCTCACACATCTAAAGAAGGTTAAATTAATATAGGTTATAACGCACTCAGCTTTAGGATACAGAAGAGACATTTTATCTGGCACATCATAGGCTCCACTGACAAGCATTTTAGAACTTGGATAATCTGTTTGCATGATACAAATTCTCATTCCAATCCAAATTTGGAATCAACCTTTTAACATGACATCCTTCAAGATGCCTGCAACTGCAGATCCAGCAAGGTAGCTTTAATGCATTCACCTTCAAGAGACGGTATTTACTGCCCACAGAACACAACTTCACAAGATATGTAAACAACTTCTGAGAAGCTTGACTAATTCCTTTTAAAGCCATAATCTTCTCAGGTGGAATCATACTAATTGCTTTCAATCAATTTGAAAGGCCACACGTATTTGATATCTGTCAAGATTTCTTACACATGATCAAGATGCTTGGTCCACATTTAATCTGAAAGATATTTTACAATTTTCATCCCAATAAAATATCTTTCAGCCAAAGATCAGACCTCTACATGTGAAATCTGAGAGGCTGGAGAGTAGGGTTTAGAGGAGGACAATTCAGCAGTTTGACCGAGTGATCTCTCCCTTATCAGGAACTACAGGGAAGAAGAGAAACAAGTGTATTCGTGAATAAGCACTCCGATCACTAAAAGTAAACAACGGCTACAGTTCTCAGGCTGAATCTGATAGTCACAACCATGACAAACACCTCATAAATGGCAACAAAAATTGTTGTTCTCGTCAACCAACATGTTCTTCGCATGCCCATTGACAAAAAACATCAATCTTCTTAACAAGAACATAGCCTCTGTTCTACTGGGCACAAAACCAAAAGAACCAAACTGGTTCTCTGTAACTCTTGTGGTGTCTTAAATCTACACTCTATCACTCTTTACCAAAGTTTCATTGGACTCATAAGCTTAATGTCGTGATAGTTCACACGACTTTGAATATCTTCTTTATCTTTACTTCTCATATATTGGATATTTCTTCACTTGTGAGACATTCTACGACTTTTAGAATAACATTAAATAACTTAGTAAGCCATATTATTACACCTTTTCAGGACACTTCCAAACCTCTACATGAATACCATAAGTGGATCCCATCTTGGCCACACGCTTTTATAATCCTCAAATTTTCATGGATCCGTTACTTCTATCAGTCTATTTTTTACCGTGCAAACATGTACGGAGATCTGTAAGGTTACCTCGTGATTAGAGTTGAACAATTGATTAAAATAGCCTATCCAGCTAGCCTTGATCTGATTATCCCATGTCAACACTTGCTGAGAATCTTCTATCATATAGTTCACCTGGTTTATGTCCTTATTCCTCTTTTCTTTCGGGCGTGTTAGTTTATACATTTATATCTCCCCTTCTCAAGTCCCTAACTTTTGCTACAGTTATCTTCTGTAGCACCTTTAACGGAGACGAATTCACAACTAGGAGAAATGGGAAGAAACCGAAGATCACCATCAGTTGAAATACAACAACAACAACAACCCAGTATAATCCCACTAGTGGGATCTGGGGAGGGTAGTTTGTACGCAGACCTTACCCCTACCCTGGGGTAGAGAGGCTGCTTCCGATAGACCCTCGGCTCCCTCCCTCCAAGAACTCCCCACCTTGCTCTTGGGGTAACTCGAACTCACAACCTCTTGATTGGAAGTGGAGGGTGCTCACCACTAGAGCAACCCACTCTTGTCCACCATCAGTTGAAATGACTTGGTAAAAATCAGCCACAAGGTAAGAGAGAATTTTCTTTGTACAACAGATGACATGCTTAGTCGCTATTGTAAGAGGTCGCTACCCTTATTAATAAGTTTTTTCCAGCCCTTCATAAGTTGGCTGTCATCTAACCAATAAACAATATCAAGCACCACATTGAAGTGTTTACATCATTGTTTATATCTTTACTTACCCAAAAGATATGGAGTGAATTCTAAAGATAAGCCTGCTGTAGCACCTTTAACGGAGACGAATTCACAACTAGGAGAAATGGGAAGAAACCGAAGATCACCATCAGTTGAAATACAACAACAACCCAGTATAATCCCACTAGTGGGATCTGGGGAGGGTAGTTTGTACACAGACCTTACCCCTACACTGGGGTAGAGAGGCTGTTTCCGATAGACCCTCGGCTCCCTCCCTCCAACAACTCCCCACCTTGCTCTTAGGGTGACCTCTTGATTGGAAGTGGAGGGTGCTCACCACTAGAGCAACCCACTCTTGTCCACCATCAGTTGAAATGACTTGGTAAAAACCAGTCACAAGGTAAGAGAGAATTTTCTTTGTACAACAGATGACATGCTTAGTCGCTATTGTAAGAGGTCGCTACCCTTATTAATAAGTTTTTTCCAGCCCTTCATAAGTTGGCTGTCATCTAACCAATAAACAATATCAAGCACCACATTGAAGTGTTTACATCATTGTTTATATCTTTACTTACCCAAAAGATATGGAGTGAATTCTAAAGATAAGCCTGCAACAGCAACCTCTACTTTATTAGATTAAGTGTAGCGAGGAAAGACCATGAAGTTATTTTTGGTCATCTTTAGTTTTATGCCAAAGAATAGCTGGTTTCCCTCTTCGTTTTTAGAGGTCGTTCTTCCCAGCTTGATCTTGGCAGAGTTAACAGAAATCAACCTCTCAACTCCATCAAAAACCAGAAATCTACTTCTCAAGCAAGCATTGGTTGAGCCCCTCAAAAAAGTGAATAGTACTTCACTACTATTCCCAGTCAAATTTTCATTACTAATACACCAAGAGGTGTCAAAACTATGTACAAGTGTCTATAACTAAAACGAGTCATTCACAGCATACATCAAACTAGCGAGTTGCCTATGTATTCTCTATTCATACAAAAAATACATGTGTTTTTTTTATCAGTCTGTTCAGACCAAAAATACAAGTGAAATAAGAAAGAGCTGCTAATGCTTTCTACAATGTTCTCATGATGTGACTTCTCACTTAATTTCCATGTTTATATAAGCACTTATTCAAGTATTTGAACACTTACTGCATCACTCATTGTCATATATAAGGGTGGCAAGTGGGCCGGTCCAGGCCCGGGACCGGACCGCGGGCCAAACCCCAGTTTTAGTGGGCCTGGGCCGGTCTCGTGGGCCGGTCCTATGCTTTGGGCCCGCCAGGGACCGGGACCGGTCCCTTAGCGGGCCAAACGGTCACAACGGCTATATTTTAAAAAAAAAAAAATATATAGCCGTTGGGCTGTCAAAAATAGCCGTTGGCTATTTATAAAATAGCCATTTAACCCCCCCAACTTTGTTTTAACCCAAAACTTTTTATAATTACACTTTTTCAACTATAAATACCCCCTCATTCTTTCATTTTTCTTACAAAATCATCAATCTATCATACTCTCTCTAATTTTCTTCTATAATTGTTACTATTGCTTACTTTATTGTAACATGAAATGACCAAAGTATGGTACTTTTTAGCTAGTATAAATATGTGATGATGGAAGATCAAGTTTTAGCTCAACTCTCAGATTACAGTATTAACTAATTTCCCACTCTTAGATATATATATATATATATATATATATATATATATATATATATATATACTAAATGTGTAGCTAGCCGATAGAGAGGATAATATATCTAAGAATGGGAAATTAGTTAAAACTGTAATCTGAGAGTTGAGCTAAAACTTGATCTTCCATCATCCCATATTTATACCAGCTAAAAAGTATCATACTTNAGTATATATTATATATTCTATACTATACTATATATACATCTTATATATATATATATATATAGTATATATACTAAATGTATATATCTGATACCAGATAAACAGGATCCTTATAGCCTGTTAAGGCCAGTTGGATCTAGCTTATTTAGTACCCTTAATTTTAAAGGCTGGCGGTAGTCCGCTCGGCCAGTAAGGATATAAGAACCGAAATATACAAGAATTTTTATAGAGCTTTATGACTGTATGGAAGGATCTATCCTTTTATCCAAGCAAGGGGCTTGTCTGGATCTAATACATAATCTTATTGAGCCCATGTGTCTAGCAGTTCTAACCGGGAAAAGACGCCCTTATTCTTTCAACACCTTTAACGGGCTAAGTCCACGGCTTGCTAGACGTAGCCACTAAGACAAAGCCAATAAGAGTAGTACAAGATTTGACTGTACCACCATCTCTGGAACCAAGTCAATAAGCCATATTAAAATTCCTTTATATTTTGATAGAGGCTAGATCTTTCATGGTTAATATGCAAGAGAAGTTAAATATTCAACATAGATATGAATCTTTTAGCCGGACATAGTCACGGCTGGGGAGAAACGAAGTAATTAAAGTAGAAATTAACTAAAGAAATAAATACCTCTTAAGGCCGGGATGCAAGGCCTGAATGCGATGATGAACTGGGAATTTTATTTACTTCATATATATGAGTTAAAATTGTCTAGACAGCTTAAGATAGATAAGCTTAAGGAGAAATCTCAATTAGGAGACTTTTGCACCCAGTTCGGTTTACCCGAGACTTCTGCTCATAGCAAGAAAAAGAAAAATAGGTA